AGTCGAACGTATAGATTGATGACCCACCGTACAAGTCTACTCTAACGTATAGATTGATGGCTGACCGTACAAGTCTACTCTAACGTATAGATTGATGACTCACCGTACAAGTCTGCTCTAACGTATAGATTGATGACTTAGCGTACAAGTCTACTCTAACGTATAGATTGATGACCTATCGTACAAGTCTACTCTAACGTATAGATTGATGGCTCACCGTACAAGTCTACTCTAGCGTATAGATTGATGACTCACCGTACAAGTCTACTCTAACGTATAGATTGATGACTCACCGTACAAGTCTACTCTAACGTATAGATTGATGACTCACCGTACAAGTCTACTCTAACGTATAGATTGATGACTCACCGTACAAGTCTACTCTAACGTGTAGATTGATGGCTCACCGTACAAGTCTACTCTAACGTATAGATTGATGACTCACCGTACAAGTCTACTCTAACGTATAGATTGATGACTCACCGTACAAGTCTACTCTAACGTATAGATTGATGACTCACCGTACAAGTCTACTCTAACGGATAGATTGATGACTCACCGTTTCTCGGCCAGGCCTCTTAAACAGCACTCATCATACTCCTCATGTTTAACTATCAGCCATTCGCCCACCGTCTGTGCATTTTTATGGGGGTGTTGCCTGCCGTTGCTTATCAAGGATTATGTGCTTTCACACAGGTATCATCACGACCTGCTATCGGAGTTCTCCCAGTTCCTACCCGAGGCGGCCCCACTCAACGAACAGAACCAGAACCAGAACGTAAACGTCAACGTGAACCCCAACCAGCACATCAACCCGCACCAATCCGTAAACGGTATACTGTACCGTTCATCTGAGCCTGAGAGGGTAGAGAGGGAACGCGAAAGAGAACGCGAACGCGAACGAGATAACGAGCCAAAACAGATCATTGAGAAGCCGCCGACCAGAGGCACAGGCACGGGCAGAGGCGGCGGTGGGGGCCGCAGAGGCAAGAGGAAAGATGTGTACAACACGTATGTGCCTCTGATATTTATCTACTTATGTATTCTATTGATTTTAATGGATATAGATGTATGTGTGTATGTTTATATACATATGTAATTGTATGGTTATGTATATATTGTGCTTAGGGAAGATGCGTACAAAACGTATTTACATTTGATATTTATCTACAAATGGATTTTAATGATTATATAGATATAGATAATGTATGTATATATACATGTGTAGTTGTATGGTTGTGCATATATTGTACTTAACGTAACATTACATGTGTATATCCGGGGAGTGTGCATATATAAGTATGTTTGTATGTACGATTATGAGAAGTTCGTTGGCGTTGTTGTCCTGTGCCGGTGTGTAGTGTATGTACGTTAGATCATACTTCTCTTCAAATATAAGCATATGCACACTCGCCCCACTTATGCGACGACATACATTGCACCACTAAATCGTATCCTAGTACTAAATACATCTCGGATGTGAAACACCTAAGATCACATACAAAACACCTTCACTTTCACACCCATAGCATACCCAGCACAGACATGATACCAGGGGGACCGGGTGCTTCTATTGTGACCAGCACACGGAAGCCCAAAGCCGAGAAAGGGCTGGTTGCTATGACTGGGGTGATGAGTCAAGAGCCGTACGACAGGGAGCGAGAACCGGCTACTCGGTGAGTGCACATCTAAGTATGATGCTTTGTGTGTGTTGCCGTATATCACACACATCAGCATGCGTTTATGTTAAAATGCATGGTTTATGGTATAGTGTTGGGTGGCTGGATACGAGTAATGTCATGAGACCGAAGAGATATGGCAGAGACTTCCACACCCTGCCATCACAGCAAAGGCAACAAGACAGGTAATAACAACACTTTGCCGCCAGGAACGCTCCTGCGGAACCCATATGCGATATACACATCACCTATGTTTGTGCAGCATCAACCATTGTCACCCGTATTAACCACACACACCTCACTGCACACCATACACACCCCACCCCTCCACCACAGAAAGGGCAGCAAATCTGCCACGACCAACCCTCTGCCGCCGGTAGCGCCCATGCGCAATGTGCGTGTGAGCAACACCACGTCACACCACGGATTCGACGACATGGCCTTCTTCGACAGTGTGAAGAAGCACCTCAAGTCCAAAAGCGTGTACGAGAACTTTCTACGCACCCTCAACCTGTACACACAGGACCTGCTAGACCGCTACGAATTGGTGGCCCATGTGGAGAAGTACATCGGCCGTTTCCCTGCGCTAATGGAGCGCTTCAGAGTGATCGTGGACGTGGGCGGTGTCGGAGGTGAGTGGGCATGTCTGGGTCCGTGTGGTTGGGTGTGTTTTAGGGTTTTGCTAGCATTGAGTGTTTTAGGTTTTTGCTGGCATTGAGTGTGTGTGAGTGAGTGAGTGAGTGAGTGAGTGTGAGTATGTGGTGTGTGTGTGTGTGTGTGTGTGTGTGTGTGTGTGTGTGTGAGTGAGTGAGTGAGTGAGTGAGAG